ACCCCTCACACAGTGACTCGCAAGTGCCAATACATAGTGCTGGAGTTTTCCTTGACCAGCTGTGTCGATTTGAGTCTCAAGTGCTAATAGGATTTAAAAATTTCTAGGTAATAATTAGGGACATACAGAGTTAAAGGGAAATTAATTTTCCCATTTTTAAAAAATATAGATGAATATTACACAAATTAGTATTAATGCTTGTCACAGGCAAGGCAGGGTCTCAAAACAGCAAAGGGAAATGAGCAAAGGGAACAAGATAACCCAGGCCAGTTTTATTTTTTTATAAAAGCAGGAAGAGGTGCTGGCAGCCAGTCCCTTCACAAGCTCCCCATTTCTTGAACCACCACCCCCCACCACTGCTTCTCGAAAATGAAGATGGTTCCAAATAGCAACATTGCAACCAATTTTGATATTTTTCAAAATTTGGTATATTTCGAAGCTTTAGTTATTAGGGGAAAACAGTGTCTGGCAGTAAACACATCCTCAGGTTGTGAGCTTGGGGCCGGGATGAAGGTGGGCAGGGGAGGAAGCCCCATCCCCAGAAGAGATCAGCTTCAAAAAAGAAGAACAAAGCCAAGAACTGCTTCTCTTAAAGGTCCTGGAGTTGAGATTTTCCCGTGAGCAAATCCCTGCTTTTTTCTGGATTTCGATCATTCCATCTGTAAGATGAGAACAGCTAGAGTCTCTCAGAAGAATTCAAACCTTGAATTAATTGACTTGTGCCCACGCTCAGCCTGGGCTTCCTCATACCCTGACAGTTCGGATTGTCACACTTGCCCTTGACTCAGAACAGGGGAGAAGAAGCAGCTGTCCCCTAGGTCTCAGAGAGCACAGCTACAGAGTCCAAGGTCACTGCACCCATGCATCATTCATGGGCCCCAGCGGTCACCGGCAGCCCAGATGGACAGGCCTGGCACCGCAAGGCCCTATCTCTGACGCCTTTTCAAGAATTTGCGGCCTTCTTCAATCCTCCACAAAATAATACCGTGCTTAATACTGCTCAAGATGCAAGTTCATTTGAAAGACATGACACAGAATCTCTGGGTCTAAAAAAGCACAGAAGCACAGAGCAGAAGCCAAGGTCTATTCCATGTTTCCAAGGATATAGGGCTTAGAGAAGTCAATTAATATCTCAAAGCCTCAGCCTCCTCTCATTTTAAAGAGGAATATTTTCTCCCTTTTCTATACTCCAGGAATTTTATAAGGATTTAACTAGATAAAATAAATGATGGCTGGGCCAAATGCCAAGTAAAATGATGAAAAGACTATGAAGATATAGAATATTTGAGTTTGGCTGAAAGGTAGGAAAAGGTGTTCTCCCTATATTGTAAATGCCTTGGAATTTCTACTAGAACAAGTGCAGGTGGAACCAAGAAGAACATGATGCAGGAGGAACAGCACTGTTTTTTTTTGTTTTGTTTTGTTTTGTTTGTTTAAAGATTTATTTATTTTCACAAGCACTGGGTACAGGCAGAAGCGCAGGAGGGTGAGAGAATTCACCAGAACCAGAGCAGGGAACAGAACAGACTGACGAAGTACACTGCTGAGGGGAGCAGCGGACGCTGCAGGAGAGGTCTGTCGTGCCATGTGGGACCCTCACCAGTGGCTGGGGATCGAACCGGCGCTGCAGAGGCTGCGGGCAGCAGCGCTCAACCGCTGCGCCACCAGGGGAGGCCCAAGGAGGAACAACACTATTAATGGACAAGAGCCTGGCGCTTCTAGGAAAGCTGAGGGCATTTTAGTGGGGCTCAAGGATGAATGTGAGGTCACTCCCTAGGAGAGGGAGACATTTTATAAGTATTGCTTGCAAATAAATCTAGAAAACAAGCTAAAGAAATGTAAGAGTTGGGAAAATTTGTGTGTCAAATAAAACACTATTTCTTATGTGTTAAGGGTGCTAGAAGAAATAGAAGCATCTTGACTAGTGACTTGAGTTAACACATTTCTTCATATCTGGGAAAGCAGACTTAACAATTAAACATGTGGAGGAGGAAACATAGCATGAGTTTATGATGAGGGAGACACTACCTTCTATGTCTATTCCAGTTCCTATGAAACATGCAAAAATTGCCATATTTTGGATAAAAATGAGAAATAAACTTCAGTATATGAGAACTATTCAGACTGTGTTCTATGACCACAATTCATTGTTAAATGAACATCAATAAAATATGCACAAAGAGCAATATCTCAACAAAATAACACAAACTTTTGTATCAAAAGGAAAACTAAGGGCCTCCCTCGTGGCACAGGGGTTAAAAACAGCTCTATCAAGCAATTGCCAGTCACTGCAGCATGAGTTTGATTCCCTGGCCGGCAGGGAGCAACCCCACATGGCACAGCAGACCTCTCCTGTCTCCCCGCTGCTCCCCTCAGCAGTGTATTTCAGTAGATCTGCCTGTTCCGTTCCCCACTCTGTCTCTGGTGAATCCACTCACCCCACCACCTCTGGTCTGTACCCCAGTTCTTGTATGCACAAATAAATAATTTTTAAAAAAAGGAAAATCAAGCTGTAATTATATAAATCAGAGAGAATGATTTTTATCCTGCTTACCATACCACTATTAATAAACAAAAATAAAATGTAAATGTTCAACTTGAAAAGATGGGGGGAAAAACAAGAAAACAACTTGAACAGAAGATGAAGATTAAATAGGATAAGAGCAAAATATAATATGTAAGAGCAACTGAAAATAAATAAATTAAAAAACACGAAACTTACTAAAAGACTAAATGGAATGTAAAAATGGAATATTAGTGCTTCAAACAATAGATTGTGAGAAATAGGGAAATGAGGTGACCACGCACAGAGTGATTCAGATGACAATTTTATGGAAGAAATTATTGAAGTGGTTCCAGTTATTTCTCCAGAAATGAGGGGAAAATGTGAGATTTTATTAATTAGTAAACAAAATATATTTATTCGTTCCGTGATGCGTACGGCTGGCCATTGGAGAAGAAACACGTTTTCCAGAATAACAACGAAAGAAGAAGCACACTTTCATCACATTTCAGAAAGATTAATTTATCACTGATGTTCCGGTGTGTGCTGAGTGATAAACAAATTGTATTGTTAGAAAAAAATAAGAGTAGGCAGGTGTGTGATTAATAGGAGATTTATCTTTGGATTAATTGATATTATTAATGGGCATTGCTGTCACTCAGTAAAGGTATACGTTTAAGCTTATAGCTCATGTGAGGAGTTAGTTTTAAAGAAATTGGAAGCGCTGTTTGCCAGTGACAGTTTCACGAAATGAGTCTCTCCTCTGTCCCTTAAGGCAGTGGGTGGTGGACATGAGTGTGTAGGAGGTTATGTTGTGTTGTCTTAACACGTGTAACACACACTCGCAGAGACACTCCGACTGGTAGGTAGTCTGGAATAAAGCCCGGAATGAGTGTGGTCAACACGCCTCCCAAGGATTCCCAAGGGCACTGCCTTCCTCTGCATCTCCTTCCCCACCCCAAGCCCCCAACCCCAGGACGTAGCTACAACAGACGCCTGTTTTCCCCTCATATACCAAATTTTGAAAGATACCAAATTGGTTGCCATGTTGCTATTTGGAACCATTTCTTAAAAATGTCACTTTAACGGGGCCAGACTTGTAAACACTCTGACTAGGGAACTTTCCTGGCAAGACAGCAAGCGTGCTGGGCCTCCCTGGTGGCGCAAGGGGTTCAGCATCAGTGCTATGAAGCCACCTGCAGCCACTGCAGCACGAGTCCCATCCCCAGCAGCCAGGGAGCTACCCACACGGTATGGGCAGACCTCTCCTGTCTCCCTGCTGCTCCCTTCCAGCTCTCGTATGCATAAATAAATAAAATAAATCTTTTTAATAAAAAAAAGTCATAGCCATACTGGAAATACCTTCCTCCCTGCTAACTAAATAAAATCAAATAAGAATGCTCAAGTCCTTTGACTTCATCTTCTATTGAAATGCCTTACCTGGCTGTGGAGGGTCTGCTTGGTCATGGCACCTGCCAGCAGTGCCTGTGAGGGGCGGGGGTAGGGGAGGCTGAAGTGTCGGAAGCCCTGGGGTCAGAGCTTCTGGGGAAACAGAGACAGCGCGGCAAACAGATACAGCCTTTGCAGTTGCCAGTTTGCCAAGAGTCCAGTCTGAAAGGAGGGAGAAATGTGAGATTTCATTAATTAGAGGACCACCTCTGTCGAAAAGAGAGCATTTGCCCAGACTGGATCAGAGAAATGTCTGTAACCTGGTGTGCATCCTAAAAGTACATTTCTCTCTCGGAAACTCGGAGTGCAGTGTTGCTGGTGTTGGACTCATCCCTCACCCAGGTCCATGATGTGCTGTTGTGCAGGTCACGTCAGCTAATCTTAATATTTATGCGCCAAATAAGAAAATGGACCACATTTTTATCATGGGACATCTCAGGGAAAATGCTTTCTCAGTATGTGCCAGATCCCATAAGGAGTCAAGGAATAAGGTCGTTCGAGGGAGTGCCGTTGGGGGAAGGTGGGGCCAGGGTCAGGAAACTCGGATGTTGTTGAAATGGGTTAAAACAGATCATGGAACCCTGGGCTTGGCAGCGCTCTGGGGCATCCGCATCTCATGGGGCTCGCACCTCCATTTTCTGAGCTATCTTATAGTTCAGTAAATTGTAGAAGATTGTCAGTGATGCACATAATTCTTATTCATAGAAATGCAAATAATCTTGTCTGGTGGGAGACAATTGATTATGGCGCTGACTTTCTACCCGCATTCCTGATTGGCCGCGTGCCCATCAAATTCGCCTTGGAATCAGTTGTACCATCTTTTTGTTGCTTCTTAATTACCGAGTAGGATTAAATTATTTACAAGTGTTCATATTTTTGAGTCATGGCTTCACTTTTTATAAGCAGTTATCCTCAAGCAGTGGATTATGCAGGTATCTCTAATAGATTCTATCCCCTGTCGCCCATTTTTCACCCTCAACTTTTAAAAGAGCAGATTTCAGTATAATATTTTCAGTAAAAGCTCAGATGCATTTTCTTTGTCTTTTAGCTTCAGACAAGCTTGACCGAACCGATGACGTTGTCCAAGTCCATATCGCTGCCCCGTAGCGCCTACTGGCATCACATCACCCGTCAGAGCAGCGTTGGGGAAATCTACAATTTGCAAGGCAAGTAACTTCAAAACCAAAGCCCCCACCGCTGCCTCCAGGTGGACCAGAGGGCATGCAAATCGCCCTCCTCCGCCTGGCTTCTTCCCCTTTGCTTCCATTCATCAGCTGTCACTGGCTGCAGTGGGAGCTCAGAGGCTTGCGTGGTTTTTCTAAAGCCATCATTTTATAGACTCACCGTAAAAATTATTCCAAAAATCACAGAGGCCTGAGGACCTAATTTGGCACAGGAACTTGACAAGAAACATACAAAACATGATCAGAAAAATCGCTCCTGCTGGGGTCTGTTTCATGCTATGTTCACAAAGGATTTCTTTTTCGGCATCTTTTTTCTTTTAATAGGGTTAAATATCAGTTCAGGAGGCTCAGTTGAGTTTCTGTGATAAAGCGCTACGTAACCTACTCACGGAAGTCTTAGGGTTAACCAGTGCCTTGACAAAGAAGCAAAGGGGAGTGTGTGGGCAGGAGACAAGTGGAAATCTGGGTTCTGTATTTCCCCTCGTGATAAATGGTTGACTGACTCACAGGGGAATGGCATTCCCGCTGAGCCAAGCTAATAGCTACAGTCTCTGTGAAGAGCAGCTGAATCTCAGCCTTGGTGGTTTTCTTCCTGTCTGATCCTTCAGGTAAAATACTCAGCTGCAATCGGTCACGTAACAGTTGACCAAGTGGAAGAAATAGAAACTAAGAAAAATAAGGAGAATAAAACACAGCAGAGCACACTGGCCCAGCTAACATTTTGGAACCCAGAGGCCTTGAACCTCACAGGCACCCAAGTTAATACCTGTTAAAGGAATGACCAGGTGCTGAATGACGCCTCAGCACCCTCAGACGTTCTGCATGATTCTTTGCTTTCATAGGTGAACTTCTGGTCATCTTAGCAACACTGAATGTTGCAACCAAAAAAAAATTTTTACAAGATAAATGAACTTGTGTATTTTCAAGCACTATTTACTTTCCAGGGTTTCAAACCTAGAATAGAATTTGATCAGTGGAGTTAACAATTAAAGATGCATCCTGCAAAGAAGAGCAGAACAATTTTAGTCACTTATGGAAATTAAATGCACCTTATGTTTCAAATAAAGCTCTTATGTTCCAGTCGGTTTCCTGTACTCAACAGGTAAGTCACGCTTTTGTATTATTTATATGAGAAAATCTTTACTAGGATAATGATTGGAGAACGGAGAGAAGGAAGGGGGAACTAGTTCGACAATCACATGTATCAGAAAGAGGATACAGTCACCTCATTATTTTGCTTCCTTAAACAGATGCCATCAGCTCTACACACTAAAATTGCCTCAGCATCATGATCTTGTAAAATTAATCTTATTCCTGTGACTAGAAATAAATGTAAACTATGATTTTGATATGTAGTTACTTTTATTTAAACATGTATATATATATATTTGAATATCGGTACCCACTAGATGAAAACTAAAACAAATACTTAAATGAGAAAAATAATCATATTGCTAAGCAAAAAGAAAGTGAGATGTTCTTGCAAGTAATTCCAAAATAGGTCTGAAACAATGGACTGGTAGCTTTGTGTCTTGCCAAAGACTTTGTCAGTAATTCCAGCAAACAAAAGATTTGTTTTCGTGGTAAAATACATGGTGGAAACTTTTCTCTGAAAAGAGGGCTGAGGTTCAGATTGATAGTAAACTTCAGAAAATTTTCATATACACCCAACTAACAGCATCAGGATGCATCGAAATTTCTTAGAACAAGAGACTTGTCAGAGGACAGTGTTGATATACACCGTAAAATAGAACCAATGACTGATTAGAATACTCTCATGTTTTAATCTCACAAGTATCAATATCCATCAATATCCATCAAGTTACGGGCTTGAAATGTCTTACAGTTTTGATGAGCAACTTACTTCAGTTGTTCGGTTACTACAGTTGTTTACTTACAGTTGAAGCAACATGGTCTCGATATCCATCCTCCCTGGTGGTGGTTGTGTAACAGAAAATATGCATTGACTAAGGTCATTACTGTCAATCACATAAACATAGATTGTTTGCAATTTAAATTGCATCTGACTATACTGTGGGTTTGTTTAGTATATTTCTTAAAGAAATACATTCTATATGCCCCTCATGTCTGGCTTTATTATCTAAATAGATATAAATATCCAGATGATAGATCCTGGTGGATAATATCTAAATAAAACAGATAAACAGTAATTAGTGACACTTGAACAGTGATAGGTTTATTCTCCTTTCATCTGTTGCTGCTTTGAGAGAAGCAGAGGTCCAGGGGCCTGTTGACAATCATGTTGACTTGTGCACACTCTGCCCAACCGCACTCTCATGCAATCAGCACAAAATAAAACTACCGAGACCAGAGAGGCATAAAAACAAGCCCTGGGCCTCGCTAGCGCTTCTGAACTTCTATGTTTTTTTCACTCAACACCAATTACAAACTGTGTTATTTTGTGTCTCACCTCCTCTGTTGTGCCTAAGAACTCTTACCTCTTCTTTTTTTTTAAGATTTATTTTATTTATGCATACAAGAACTGAGGTGTATGCATACAGAGGTGCAGGGGGTGAATGGATTCACCAGAGTAGGGAGCAGAACGAGCAGCTTGACTGAAACCCACTGCTGAGGGGAGCAGCGGGCGAGACAGGAGAGGTCTGCTGCGCCATGTGGGTCAGCTCCCTGGCTGGGGATCAAACTCAGGCTGTCATGGTGATAGCACTGAGACTTAACCCCTAGGCCACCAGGGAGGCCCTCTCACCTCTTCTTTACAAGAGGAGAAAGTAGTTGGGCCACATCCTCATTGATCTTCCGGGGTCAAGAAATACTCTGATGATGATGAGCAACCGCAGGTAGCACTGAGGAGTGGAAATACATCCTTAGAGTGTTTTCATCATGTTTTTGATATCCTGGGAAGCTGAGATCAATATGCATTAAATTCAGCAGGCTTCCTTTCCGAAGATAAACAGAGAAAAGTCTTATATATTTAAGGCTTAATAGGTTGGGTTGATGAAGAAGCAGCAGATTTTCTAGAATTGGGAAAGAAAAGCATTCGCGCGTGAAGCCCCATCCGCTGTACCTAGACTCATGTCAGTCCCATCCGACAGCACGTGGCTGTGTTTTGTCTATTCCGTCCCATCCCGTCACCCCTTCTATAGCTCTAAGAGCAGGAGACCCTCAGAAAGACTTTCTTTTCAATACTGGCACCTTGCATTTGCTTGACTGTTTGGAAAGAAGGGAGATATTATGTGCCAAACCTCTCCACGCCACTACCAGGACGTGCTGTGCAGTGGACGTTTCTGTGGTCTCCCAGCTCCTCACTGCACGCCAGCTCCTGGCATCTGAAGGCGGAGAGACAGAATGAGGGCTCTGACAAGGACACGTGAGCAACGCCTCGGCAGCCACTATTTAAAGCTCTGCCCCCAAATGGCTTGTGATGGGCTGACACCCATCACCTCTCCTTGCAGGAGTGAGTGGTAAATAAAAACTCCTTGCTCTTTGCCAGATAATAAGGATGATTGATTTGTGTCTGTAGGTAATTTTCAATTTCTATTTCTCTACCTGGACGTGAATGGGAAATGTCACCGCGCAGGCTGAGCTGTGACCCCCCTAGACTTTGGGAGACCCGACCTGTGCGTGGGAAGGGAGTGACATGTTGAGCTCTTGACTCAGAAGTCAATGCTGCACACACCTTTTGCCTCTGCATTGACAGAAGCGTGATTTCAGCTCCACGGCCTTCAGCAGAGAATGTGCTGGGCATGAGGAGCACTCACAAAGAGAGCAAGGGAGACAGGGGCAGCGGGAGGGAGCAAAAGAAAGGAAAAAGGAGATTAAGAACCAAAACTAAGAAGGTTAGGGATTTTCTTACTCTAAGGGCCTCACTTTGACTTTGATCTTTATTCTATATATTTACACGTATTTATCGGACAGATTTCTATGACAAGTTCTTTACATCAGGATGTGTGATGATAGAAAATACCATTTATTGAAAATGACAAATCAAACTAGTACCAGCCATGGATGGAGCTGTGGCAAACGCCTAGTGAGTCTGTTGGATGCAACATGAATTAGAAAATGCCTGTTCTGTTCCCCACTCCCTCTGGTGAATCCTCTCACCTCTCATACCTCTGGCCTGTACCCCAGTTCTCGTATGCATAAATAAATAAATCTTAAAAAAAAAGAAAGAAAGAAAGGAAATGCCTGAGAAAGGCTCCTAAACTTATATCCCCGAGGGACGACACCATGGCGGCCCCCGGGGAGAATTCCCAAGATGTTGCGATAGGAATCATGGTCTCTGGCCCACAGGCCTCCCTCTTGTCAGCCTGGCACGCGCTCAGGTCTTCTGTGTGGGGGTGCGTCTTTGCTTTGAGGTCTTGTACTGACCCCAGGCCCCTGCTGCTTTATTTTCACAAGCACAGGAAGAGCTGTGAGGGCCTGGGGCCTGTCCGGCACCGCTAATTGGGATTCTGCCTCTCCCCACCGCCGCTTCCTCCCTGGGGTCAGTTCTTCTGCCAGTGTCATGATGACGAGGGCACCAGGAGTGTGAGCTCTCAAGGGCCCCCGTGATCTGGCTGTGGGGTGTGGGGGGGCCTCTCCTTGCATTTTCCCTGATACCTTCAGTCACGTATTTGTCCACAAAATTATGTGGGATATTCTCGTTCATTCGAGCAGCCTGAGGCCTGCCTCTTAGAACAAGGGTGATTGGGGTGCTGTTGCTAGAGTTCTGCTTTCAATGACGCTGATTAATATTCAAATGCCAACCCTGAACGGTCTGGCTCCCCTCCCCTGCCTCCACACATCTGTGATTAAGCAGCAGACTCAGCACAGCCGCTACCTGATAACAGGAAGACGGTCCTGTGTTCCCCCAAAGGGCATCTGCGGCCTCCACTCCTCAGGACAGGTTGCAAACGGGCAACTGGAATTCAAGATAACCTTCAGAAAATGGTAAACAGAGTTCTGACATAGATTAGAGAGGCTAATCAGAGGATTTACTTGCTCTTTGCTCAGAAATGACCCTC